CCGACAATCAACATATAAAAAATTAAATAACATTTAAGCATGTAATTATAATAATGACTTTTCAGCGGTTTATAGTTATTTAGGAAATGTAACTTTAATGACAGTTTTCACTAAACTTAGGAGTCGCTTAAATCTGTCGCCTAAATATTTAGGAATCGCCTAAGATGAAAATGCTAGGAACCTTCTAACGGCACCTATGCAATATTTAAGTCATGATATGCGTTATGCGTTGCCTTGAGCTAGTCATTATCAATAGTCATTATCATAATGTGTCAAGGGATAAAAAAGAAAACGAAACTAATTTGAAACTAAGAGAGAAACTAATTTGTTTAAGCGTTTCGCAAGATTAGGCATATTCTAGTTAAGCTATGCCTTGTTCTAGGTTAGTGAAAACGGATATAAATGTTCAATATATATATATTTTAAAGCGAAAAAAATATTAAATTAAATCATTGAAGATTTAATTTAGAAGAATTTAAATGTTTGTATTTCGTAAAAAGTCGTGTGTTATAAATGATAAATCGCGTGCGGTGCCTTCATTTGAGCAGCTAAAACATCTGGTAGTGTATTAGTTAGAAATGTGCTCTCTGTAAAACATCTAACGATATAATATGAGCCTTGTAGTAAGTGTTTTGGGCGGTGAAATTGTGTTTTATGTATAGAGCCATGGGTCATTCTCATTTTGCGAAAGAATTGTGTTAAGAACCATAATATTGAATTTATTTATTTTTTTATATAGTACTTTAACTTACTTGTTACGTATCATTAGAGTTCATTTTGGATAATTTTTTCATGTCACTTTTTGAGTATAGACTTTACGTTTAATGCATGTGCGGACGGCACATGAGTAACGATACTTTGTAAAATATCGAAAGTTATATAAGTACTAAATAGTTTAGTTTACTATATAATACATTATTGGGAGATTTTTAAGCCCAAAGGTGAATTTTATAATTTTCTCTATAGAAAAAAAAATGAAAGTACTTATAAAATTTGTTACAAATTTCTTATAGTAATTACAGAAATCAGGAATCTTTTGTTGATTTAATTGAATTTTATAAAGTATATTTCGCTAAGAACAATACTTGGGTGTAATGCGTCTAGAGTTGCAAACCGATACTAAATACATAGTATTATTTTGGCCTAGGGTAATAACTGTTGGAGAAATATATAGTAAGCCAAAATATATTCAACACTATATAGTATTTTGGCGTATAATCTAAATACTTTAATAGCTTGATTTTAAGTGTTATTTTAGCTAAAGAAATATTGGCAACCCTAGATACATCTAACCCTGCGTAAATGGATACAAACGCCCCCGACTAAATGTACCTCTAATATGTAACATGTTACACTCAAAGATCGAAATCGCTCATTGAGCGAAAAAAGAGTTCACAAAGCGTTGTGGTTACAGTAAAATATGACTCTTATGGAAACGCTCACGACGTGTAATGGCATTCAAAGAATAACCATATAGTGAAATCCGTGTCATGGCTGTCATTCGACCGCAACGCGTTGTGGTAATGAAGAAAAACCATGAATCAAAATCAAAATTATTTACTCAGTTTAAGCTGTTATAAGCACTTGTGAAAGTTGAGAGCTACGCCATCGGTTCGTAAATCTACGGCGGGAGATCTTGAAGCGTATTGAACCATATTTGTTAAGATTAGGATACAGTATGACAAACAACGCATGAGCCGAACGAGCGAATAGCCGCGGTAGCGCCCGGCGAAGTGTCACAAGCGAATCGCTATTGTAAAAAGAGACAGCTAGTTAAACCAATTAATGATAGGAACCAGTGATGTGCCGGATCGTTAAAAATGTATATCCGCTGATACGGATACGGTTACGGATATCCGGAACATCACTAATAGTAACGCATCGTGGCTTTGTTCATTGCCGCAACGCGTTGAGGTCGAATAGCATGTCAGCCACGACACGGATGTCGCTATGTGGTGCGATTGCTACAACGCTTCGTGAGCGTTTCCATTAAAGCCATAACACGAATTTAGCTAGGTGATTATTCTGCGATTGCCACAACGCGTTGTGAACTATTTTTTGCTCAATGAACGATTTCGACCTTTAACGTAGTTATAGGAATTATTAAACTTTCGGTATTCAACTTCAAAACTAAAAGCTTGTTATTGCCTCTAATGTATTTTGTGTAAACATATACAATACATATAGTCATAGGCCAATCTAAATTGTTTATTTGTTTTTTTACAAAATATAAAAAAAAACAATCCCCATTACTTTAAATATTATCTTGGACAATGGCAAGGTGCCTTCAAACATTTAACTATTATTATATGATTTGACGAACTAACGCAAGTTAAGAGACAATTAGTTTAAAGCCATAATAATATAATTAATGTTAATAGCTTTGGAAATGACAAAAAATAATTATGTCATATTTTGCGTAACTGGCCCGCATCTCCTACAAAATGGTTTACAATAAAATCAATACCATATAAATCTCGATGTTAACTATCTAAAACTATAACTCTACTAATATTAAAGCTGTTAATAAGTACTTATATCAATTATAAGTAAAATAATACTAGCCAAACTAATAAATTATAGCTAAAATATCATTTGGTCGACTAACAAAAATAGTAACTGAAGCTTTAGCAATATTATTTTTCTCATTTAAATGTAGGTACAATACTTATTTTTCAAATATATTTTTACTTTAAATTTTTGAAATATATTTTATATAATACAGAACTCAAGGGAATGATTTCATATGTATTAAAATATCTATCATTAAATATCCATTTATATTTTTTTTGCAAACAAAGATGTTCGTTGAATATTAACACAGACGCAGTAAAACAATTATGAAAATAACTATATTTTACGAGTAAAATACCTATGGGTACATTATTTATACAATATAAACAAGTTCAGACATTGAACCATATATATTAAATGGCACTGTAAATTATTATATACATTGTTCTAAGGATTGTACAATAGTAAGACATGCAGTACAAATTATTTATTACATTTACACACCAAAACTTTAAACAAAGGCTATACTTAATCCAACGTCGAACAATAGTAGTTTGCATTCATTGTTGCATAGCAAAGGTCCAATGTCCAAGCTTTTTTATGATTATTAATATTAAAATTGAAGTTTTTTTTTAAAGCATGGTGAAAAGTTTGTGGATAAACTATAATTTAACAAAGATACACTTTTTATAGCTAACTAATACAGATAAGTGTCATGGCAGACAAATTACTACAAGCCAGAAGGAGATCCGACTAACAGATATTTTTTTGTTGTTTTCAATAAATTTGCCTAATACTATGCATTCGATTTACGTAGTAACTTGTTGAAGAGATATATAGTTTTAGTGAGCTTTATAATTAAGGGTGGACCCAACCCTAACCTCTAGTGGATATAGTGTCAAAAGTCTCGTATAAAGAAACAAACACCTTTTTTCCTAAGACGGTTTTGTTCATATATAGAGAATTGCATAAAAAAAAGCTAAATCATAACGAATTAAGTAATATAAAATCGAATATTTGTTTAAATTAAGCCACGTTAAAGTATTGTTGAAATCAATGATCTATTATAAAATCCTACTTACAATTATAAATACGTTTCTCTTCTATTGTCTTTTACAATACGCAGCTTAAGAGAGAATGTGTTCGTGTTGAACTTTAATATTATTTTCTTATGTTAGAAGTCCGTTTTAAAAGAAAACAAGTGAGACGAGTTAAATATATGTTTCTTATTTTTTTTAATATATTAATACAAAAAGGTATTGGTATATGTATGTATCTACTTAAGTCATATTTTGTAACTGATTCCGCTAAAGTTTTCAATTACTAAAAGAAATCTCACTCGAGTTGCAAGTATGCAATTTGAAACAAGGAATAACATTAAAATAAACCTAAATTAAATTAAGATTTTTTAGTTTCGTTTAGAAAGTGATACAACAGAATTGGCACCACTTTATATATTTATTACATCTTCATTAGTAGAGTTCAATTAGCTAGTAAAATTTAATATATACAAATATAAGATATTAAAATAATCTAACTACTTAAGAACATTTAGTGCGCTACGGGAAAAAAAATACGGATCGTTTTCAAAAAATACTTATTTTAGTTGACTATGGAATATCACTTTGATGACTTAGTTTCGCTATGTACTTTTTAGTAGTTATTTTTTATACCTCTATATTGTAATGGGACATAAGATACTTTCGACATCGAAAACTCAGCAAGAAACCATCAAGCAAGACTGATGATATATTTACAAAATAAAAATTTGTTAAATATTCGATTTGTAAAAATAAACGTTTCACTATAAGTGTTTATAGGTACGGGATACATTATGGAAACGTGACTTTGCAATGATGGAAGTTTTACAAATACAAATATTTTTGTCAGTGTCTCATCAGTGCAAAGTCATAATAATACAGCTATCGGTTATAAACGATTCATAGCGGGGAAGAACTTCTTGCTTTTAACGTGAACAATTCACATTTTCAAGCATCTTGTCTTTTATGGTCAAGCTACCTCTGAGCGGCCGACTTCCTATTCATTTGAAAACTTACTCTTTACTAACTTAAATGTTCAAATATAATAGACTTCAAATACAAGGACTATTTAAAACCATTTCCTCTGTCACAAACCCACTAGATTATAATCTTACTTATACGGGAATTTAATTTAACGTTTCTCATTTATCTATAAACATCAAAGATTACATTATGCATTGTCCTAATTGGAAACGAACGGTGGCGATGAAATCTCGTCATATGCTCGTGCGCTCGTTAGCCAAAGATCGTAAGTTTGCTTTCTGAAGCTCTTAGAAGTTCTAACTAAAAGAAACAACTTGCAGGATCACTCGCCAAGTCACTACTGCAATTGACCAAATGAAAATCGAGCTTAAGGCTACTTCAAATTCAGATAAATAGAAAGTCCACCATGTAACTAGAGGCTGAACTGATTATCTAAATAAAGTAAATCATACACGATACAGATTAATAAGTGGAGATACAGTCCGGTGGATTGTACATGCCGAAAACGTTCAGTTCGTAGAGGCTCGCGAACGTGATGAATAGCACGTACCATACCATCAGGACGGCGCCGTACTTGCGATCTAGCTTCCAGCCGTTAGCGTGTGTCGCTACCACTAGGAATATCACCGTCGAAAACAACGACAGTGTTGAGTAGACTAAGCCTGTAAAGACAATGGTTATTGGGAAAAAATATACATAGCATAGAATCTTCTATTTGAGTAGTGGTTGCATCTGCAGGCATTAATACCCATTTATCCTCACTGAGCCGGTGTGGTGGGCTCGTTAGTAAGGCATGTGTTACAGCAATTGAGATAATAGTTTGACGTTATGAATTGCCATTATATATCATAATTGTATTGAGGTAACGTGTCCAATACGCAGCATATTATATGATGGAACATCCGGCAGGAGACTACTACATTCCAGGGACATTGCGTAAAAATAAACTATAAAGATATATGAATCGACTGTATACTGTGAATTTAATGTAACGTTCTAAATCAAAGGACGAATTCAACTCTACAAAACGTTTAGAACAATAACTTAAACATTGAAACCACGCTAAAGAAGTAAGCGAAGACAAGAATTTGCCTTTTTTTCCTTATGAGCAGTGTTAATGCGTTAGAAAGAGATATATAACACCAACCTTCTCAATTTATGGAGGTTGTCACAAGTTTTTGAAAACCCATAGATTTCCTATTTTTACCTTAATGTCGTTCCTTGTTGACATTTTATTGATATAAATAAGATACGATGATATGATTTTGAAAATGTCAAAATTTCTGATGAAAAATGCTTTATAATCCACTTTGTCTCTGGTACTCTGAAATGAGATTCGAACCCACGACCTATTGCAATCCGAGTGACTGCTTTAACCACTGAGCTACCCAGGACCTAACAGGGCTGACATTTTTTTCTTTTCAAGCATTTCTGTATCGCTTAAACAATTTTATTATATTCTACTACTATAATGATAAGGATTAGGGACACCAAGTAGAAAATAATCTTAGTATTATTTATAATGCATTTATAATGCAAAAAATATCAGATAACTGGATATGAAGACTACTTACACGTACTGTTAGTACAATAATAAGTTTAAGGTAATTTTCTGATTTCAGTTAAGTCGAAAAGAATTATAACTCACCGATGAAAGTTTAACATTTAACATTTTGTTTCTTGAACATTTTCTTTTCTACCTGTTTGAGACTTGCAGCCCACTATTACACAGGTTTATTTTCACAGACATTCTATAACTCTCAGGTTTTAATATCACAAATATTGTTTCGAGTTTTCTTTGAATTTACTATATTAATTGTATTTTTCTCAGAAATATACCAATATCCGTATAAGTAATAATGTCACTATGATGCTACAAAGTAAAGCTGTCAGTAATTAATAATAATAAAGACTCTTTATTGCTCAAACCATATTAAAATTACATAGATAAACATAAATCATTAGATAAAATAAATGTACAAAAGGCAGCCATATCGCTAGCCAGCGATTTCAGCTTCCAGGCAACGACCTTTTAATTAAATGAAATGAATTAAATGGTAGTGTAAAAGCTGTAAATGAATACGAATTTGCAACCAGTTTGATAATCAACTTGGACAAACTTAATAAATTAGAATTAAATGTGGATTCATTATCTTATACTCGTATAGACAAATTCAATTACGTTATTATGAGACAGATGGCTGTTTTCGACTCTTACTTTTATCATGGTTTCTATGCTTTGGTTATTATTCGAAAACAAAACGTATTGAAAGCTTTCAAACATGATTTGTCAGTTACCTTTACTGATGACGTTTACGTGGCTACCAGGATGGATGATAGCTGTCTGTATGAACCACGGTAGCCCCAAACATACCAGGATATCGAACACGTTCGAACCGACCGCGTTGGAAACCGCCATGTCACCGTACCTAATACATAAATTATGCAATGAAAATTGAATAAATAAATAAAATAAATATATTTTATTCCTTGAAGATTTCGAGATAAGTATTTTGTACGTTTTTATTATCCTAAAATTAGTTTTCAAGTTAGGTTAGATATTATGACCTCACTGGGAGATCTGCAAGAAAAAGCACAGGGTACTCGACATGGTAGTTTTATGAGTCGTGTAAAATTTCTTAAATTATAAATGTTAAATGTAAATGATAAATGTTTACGTTAAATTTTGTGATCACCTACTCATTACTCGTATGCTTGTATCGCATAATTAAATACAGATCGAGTTAGGCAAGTTAAACTATGCGTAATAGAACATTTTCGGGTCTCAATCCACATGCAGAGGTAGCCATAACAATAGTGTAACCATAGCAACGCAGTCCATACTCCATGACCATAATTGCAAAGGAAAACCTTAACTTGGTTCAACTTACGTGTCGTGCATGATAGTTAGCCTTTATCTTGTTAGCACTCACCCTTGTAGCTCGTTGACTTAGTGGATAAGCGCCGCGGCCCGCGATCGTTGTCGTTAAGCAACTTTCGCAAGAGTCGGTCGTGGGATGGGTGACCAAAAAATTATTATCTTGAGCTACTCCGTGCTTCGGAAGGCACGTTAAGCCGTTGGTCCCGGCTGCATTTGCAGTCGTAATACCCTTCAATCCGCATTAGGCCAGCGTGGAGGGTCATGGCCCATCCTCCTTAACCATTCATAAGGAAGGCCTGAGCTCGTGTCAGTGGAAACGTAAAAAGGCTGATGATTATAATGACGACTCACCCTTCCTTGATGACAGCTAGTGAGGAGAGGGCATCGGGTACCGATACGCCAGCCGCCACGAATGTTAGCCCCATTACCGTATCAGGTATCCCCAGCGTGTAACCTGGTAAAGATTACGGTTATTAGGTTAAGCTTGTAACTGCGATATCATCGACACTATTATCTTTATACACATCTTCTAAATAGAACCTTTATATAATGTCTATGCGTACAAGATGTTTCAAACTTAATAGAAATACGTTGAGCTCTTACGTACATTGTAAGCGACCTTTCACTGGGTCGTGGATACAATAAGTTTGGCAATAACTCAAATACTAATAATAGATCGATCAAGTGAAGCGAATTCCTTGCCAACTGATAGACCATGGTAATAATGCCAAAACCCTCTAGAAACCGTCAACCGCACTTGCTCTGGAGCCATTACTGTTAACTTATACTATTTGTTTGAAATTTTACCAATTTTACTTAATATTTTCCTCAGTAGACTAGTACGCAAATATGCAGGCAGGGGTAGAAGTGGAAAGAAATTTTTGTATTTATATATAATTGAATATCGTAATATGTAAACATACCGATGATGGTAATCATCCAGACCATGAAGTAGGAGTAGAATGAAATCCAGAGCATGGAGACGATGAAGGTGATAGGATACCAGCGGCCGCGGCAGTCGGGCATGGTGTGGCGGCACGACCAATGAATCGGATACGCCACGTACCAGCATGCCAGCTGCAGGTGGTCTAAGCGACGCGATCACATTAAAATAAATTATTAATTTCCGTTGGATTTCGATAAACAAACAATTTCTTGCTGCTCCATCTCGATACTAAGTCCCTAACTTAAGATCACCGAAACAATGACGTACATTCGAAAATTGTGTTGAAGTGCTCAATTATACAAGACATAATCAATGTTGTCTGTAGGTAAAGGCAACCAAGTAGATTGCTAAGCCGTTACGATTTTTTTGTTCTTAAACTGTAAGTTATAAATAATTAATTGAAGGTCAGCGAGTAACAGAAAATTATTGACTTTTCTAATGGCATTCAATACAGTCTGAATATGATGTATCGATATATAAGTTTCTAAATAGTGAAAGATTGCTCCTTAAATACTGGAAAGGCTGGAAAACACCGTTTGTATTTTTACTTTATTATACTCATACATTTTATAAATCGCTCAGCCTTAAATCTATCAGAAACATAAGTACCTAATTGAGAATACCCGGATAGATAGAGATTTTCGTTATGGATATTTTAAGATTACTTTATTTCAAGGTCAGTGTAGTCTACAAAAATACCATCGTGTTTTATCTTAAACGACTTCAAAACAAATGGTTATCTACTTACTGGCTCCTATAGGCTTAACAAGGGGATCCACGGCAGTTTCTGGATTGTATTCTTTAGCTTTGTAATAAGTTGGCGCCGCTGGCTGAAAATTAGAATCATAAGATTGAATAACGGAAATTTTAATATTAAATACTTAAATATCAAATGGTTTCTCCACAAATAACGTTAAAATATCATATCAGTACCAGTATGACGTGTAGTTGTGTATGTAGAGATATTAATGAATTATGTATCACAGTATAATGGTTACCTGTGGCGGTTGCTGTTGTTGTTGGGGCTTCTGTGTCGGTGTCTGAGCCGAGTTTTGTTCTGTCGTTTGTTGTTGTGGTTGTTGTTGTTGTTGTTGACCCCAACCCTGGTTGTCCTGCCAGGACTGTGCACTAGCTGGTGTTGCTTGTGATTGCTGCAGAACATATATAAATTTTTATTGATTATATATGACACCTAAAATCACCTATTGAGTTGCCAAAGTATATGCCAATTTGTTTTGTAAAAAGTTTCTTTTTTGCAACTTGATATTACAAAACAGTGTAGAACTTATTTTACTAAAAAATGTTAACAAGGAAATAGAACAAGACAACAAAAAATTTGAAGGATATGTTTCTCGTATGGTAAAGAGAAGGACACACTTTTAAAATGCGACAACGATTGCGACAAGACCACAAAGTCTATGCGCATCGGGTATTCAATGTGGTGTTTTAAAAATCACGTTACAATTTAAATGTGCGTTCCGGTAATAGTAAGGTGTTCACCGTGTTATCACTCCATGCTGCGTCTGGGTCCCATGCATGCGAGGGGTCCCAAACGGGCACTTGTTGTTCCGCATTATACGCCGCGTTATCGTACGCGCCGTCTGGATTGTATGCTGATAACAGAACATTATTTAATTACTATATTTGATCGATTTTGCATTCAAAAAGTTATATCTTTAATAAAAATTACAAACCCGAATCGAATATTGTTGATTCGTGATGTCGTGGATTGTCTAAATATTGGTCAAAACTCACTAGTAGCGAAAATAAAATAAGTTCTTTAAAATTCGCTAGTCCTGTCGCTCTGGTAGCTTATTGATCAGAGCAGTTGGTTCGAGTCCTGTCTACCATGGCTAGTGAATTGTTTAAGCATTTAATATTAAATTATTTTATTAATAAAAGGCAGAAATAATCGCGATTAGCACAAGAGAAGGAATTGTAACGTTTTACCTTAAAGCTATAACCTTTTAACCTTTAAGAACCTTTTAACCCTTAACCTTTAAGACTATAACTTTTCCTTCTTAAGCGAATCCCTACTTAGACTGTTCATAGCATTAATCAATTTATTCGTTCACTCACTTGCATTTTGTAGAGGCGTCTCTTTAGTCTGTCCCTCCATCTGTGTATACTGGCCTTCCACACCAGGCGCCGTAGCTGGCGGTGCGCCTCCCGCACTCCTTCAACAATATAACTAAATTAAAACCACATGGAAATTCCTATGGTAGTTTTTGAGATTATTATGTTCAACAAATAGACGCTGGGATATTTTTTTTTAAATACGTCGTGATTATCTAATAAACACTGACTTGTAAGTTACGAGTGCGGCCTGCTCCTCTCTGGTGGGCAGCTTGAATGGTAGAGGTAATGTCATCGCCCAACGCTCCAAAGCTGTGTTGAACCGCAATGCTACGCAGTATACTCCATACATGATCAGCATGAACAGTGCTTCAGGCCTATCAATCAAATAACACCAATAGGTAAGGTTGGAACTGTGGCAAAAGAAAAAGACTGTTGGCGAGTGCCATTTCGACTTTCTGCATCCTATTTTTAAAAATATTTTGCTTAACCTCACATCAACTTGTGTAGGTATTAAAAAACTTGAATTTCCCCAATCGAATTGCCCAAAACATGATGCGTTTTCACGTTTTTAATTCAATTTGACAATCTGACCTGTTTTTGGCAATAACCTCAGCCTGTTAGATGCTCATCTCTCACTATTAGTATGCGAGTTCTATTCGATAGAAATAATTAGTACACCTTTTCTTATCGCGCTCCTTTTCACTTAGAACTCCATCTCTTATAATCGTTAAGTTAAAAATGCCGTCCGGTACTTTAAAAGCGTACTGTAGCTATCTTCCACTTACCATAACGCGGTAATGGTATTAAGAATAGTTTTAAGTAATACCAGGAGACGAATCCGTTGGCGATAGTGCAGAGCATAACGAGTATGGAGAGTGCATAGAAGAAGCAGTCGCGGCACAGAGGCCACCAGTTGAGGTGCGACACGGTGCCGGCGCACAGTGCGCACACGCTGATCACGAACATTATGTTGAACACAGCCGAACCAATCACACCAGACACACCTGACAAACATAACATTATGTATAAAATCCAAGTGAATTCTAAATAGATAACTATACTAACTACTTTCATTCATTATTTGTTGGGTGCTACCTCATTTTCCAGAGACAATTAATGTTCTAAAGAAAGAGGTTCTTAATTTGATAGTTTTTGTATATAATAGAAGTTAAAGCATGAAATTGCCGATTTGTACTGAAAATCAAAATTGTTTATTTTTCAATTTTTAACAAATTTATTTAATCAAAATAATTAAAATTACTATCTATTATTATCTATACATTGCTGCCATCTAATAGAAAGGTTATTTATGTCTTTGCGATAGAACTCAGAGGCTCTCAGAGGACTGCACAAACTGTGTGATGTGATAAGCATTTTGTACTGCCTCCTGGGAAGAAATCTTCTTGTCGCATAAATAAATGTCCAAATCATGAAAAAAATGGTGGTCCATTGGAGCAAGGTCTAGCGAATACGGAAGATGACGAATGGTATCTAACTGCAATTCCTGAAGGGTCAAAACGGTTTATCGTGCTGTATGAGGTCTCGCATTGTCATGGAGCAATAACGGTGAAGATCAATTCATGAGTCGGGGCTGTTTTACTGCTTGTTTTGCCAACATTGTTTGGAGATCGGCACAATAGACATCTGCCGTTATTGCTTGACCAGATCGGAGAAAACTATAGTGAATAACACCATGCTGAGACAACCAAATAGTTACCATTACCTTTTTATTGGTAAGTTTTGCTTTAGGACACTGTCGTGGCGTTTGACCTGGGGTCAGCTATTACATTTTTCTTTTACGGTTATCATAAAGAATCCACTTTTCATCACATGTCACAATTCGATCCAATATTCCTTCATTTCTGTACCGATTCAACAAGGCAACACAACTTTCAACACGCGTTTCTTTCTGCAGATCAGTCAAATCTTGAGGCACCCATTCGTATTTTTTTATTTTATTGATTTGACGCAAATGAGTCAATATCTTGGTTAAGGTAACCTTAAATCATGCCGCTAATTTCAGCTCGAAGTTTCTATTACGAAAGCGTTTAAATAAAAATCGCAATGTGCGTTCATTAGCAGACTCTCTCTCCAAACACAACAATGATATTGCGGGCTGTTGCTGCCGCGTTTCTTCCGAGTCAGAACTCGTATTCAAAAATCACTCGAATTTTCACAGTATCCATTTTTCTTGTCTAAGTTAACAAATACAATTGAAAGTCGATATTCAAATGTTACACATTTTTTTAAAAAAAGAACATCATAGAAACAATGTGAAAAAAGGTTCTTTCAAAAACCTCAAACCATGAAGATTCTATGTCAATTCAATGAACTTATAACAACAAAACGGCAATTACATACTTTAACCCCTAATATGTTACACGACATTTATTGGCAGGGTAATTAAATATTCATTTATCTTAAAACTTTTGGTGCTGTTTCTGTAGTCCTGCTATAATAGTAAATTTATCAAAAAGTCCAACTACTTTGTGAAATAAAAAAAGGTTTGAAAAATAAGATGAAATGAACTTAGTCCTTACCAATATCATCTTGTGCACAGAAGACGCCAATGACGACAGTGGCCAGCTCCGGGGCTGAGCTGCCGGCAGCCATGAACGTAGCACCCGCTACATCAGGCGCCAGCTGTAACTCTATATGGAAAGAAATTTTAATAAGGGTTAGGTTAGAATTATCGTGGCACAATATAGAAGATGCCAGAAAATAATTTGAATTAAAATCCAGGAACTACTACAAAAATAGGAGGTTATAATCGAACGATGTTTGTCCATTTTGTGATATGGCTCAGACTTAAAGCCTGTTTTGGGCGTAGGCGTCTGCATTGCTTTCACGCTCATTTCAAATGAGTATGGTGTAGGTAAATTTTGCTATAGTATTTTAACTAAATAATACCTTCACAGATCCTATCAAGGCTAGACACGAAGTACTCGTCACAGACGATCGCGAGTCCGATAAATGTGAACACTGCTACCAATATGTGGATGATCAGCCCACCATGCTTGCGCGCCGATTGGCCCATTAACGGTTTCGGGAACTGCAACACATAACTATTTTAGTTACAACTAATCACAAGTATTTTAAAATCATGGTTAATAGGAGAACGCAAATTGATGGTTGTTTTAATACACTTTTTAAAGAATGAAGACTTCACAAAGTGAAGCAACATTTAACACCTATCAAAATATTATTTACGTCATTCATACTCTGATGTAGTTATAGTAACAAAAAAAGAATAAACAAAGCCTGAGCGTGAAGAAGTAGAAATAAAATGTTTGTTCCTGTTCTGGAGAAAAGTGTAAGTTCTTTTAACATTCATATTACAACATTACCCCTTAAACGTTGAGTGTTAAGCTATGTTATCGTTAAGTGTTAAGATATTTAATTCAAACAAATTTATTTTATTGAAAATAATTACTTGTTCAATAGCTGGTGGAGTACAATCTTTTCTAAGCGGATGAACTGTAGCCACCAAAGCTTTTTCGTCGTTTTCCTTTTCTATCTCCCTCTCTTTTTTCATTTCTTCATCCTGCCGAACAATAACGTCAAAATTAACGTCATAATTATCGTCAAACGAGACGAAATATTTTGACATTGAAATACGAGTATTTTAACTATTACATTATGAACAAAATTCGAGTTACTACGTACTTCTTTGTAACCAGCGTCTTTCATCTTTTTTTTATTGTCTTCATCTTCATCCATTTCGTCCGTCTCTGTTATTTTTTGCTCTACCTCGTCGGGGTTTTGTGTGGGCTTTGAAGGCAGTGAATCACTTGCTTGTTTCGTTGTACCTACAATAGATATTATATCAAAGTTCTATTACATGACTCTACTCACAGAATATGTTGATATTTTATTACAGTGCACTTTTTAACTGTAAAATTTTCTGTTAAAATCTGTGTCAAATACAGCGTCGAGCACAACGCTGTCGCACAATAAAGGTTCAATCAAATAAAATCTTTATTTTGTTTTGAAGTCGGTTTTATCTGATTTAAACTCTGAGTTGTGACAGTGTTGTGCTCGACGTTGTGTTCGACGCTGATTTTTAGAGTTCCGTATCAAAGATTAAAATGGGACCCTATTACAAGGACGCCGCTGTCCGTCCATCTGCCTGTCTATCACCACGCTGTACCTTATGAACCGTTATATAGATAGTTGTAATTTTCAAGGTTGATATACGTCTGTTGCCACGTTAAAGAATACAAAAACAGAATAAAATAAACATTTAAGAGGGGCTTCCATACAACAATTTTGATTATTTTTTGTGTATAATTTACGGTGCGCAGGTTTGACCGGGTCGGTTATTAGAGAATAGCAAAGCTAAAATATGCTAAGCGTTTTCGACCTATGATCAACCCGTTGTGCGTCTATGACTTTGATAAACTGGTTTATCACAAAGCACCTTTTATATTTGTTACTTTTTTCATACTTTAAGTGTTTCAGCACCTGACTTCCGCTCTGGGTACTGGATGATGTATAACGCTTATTCAACGTACTGAAATATTAAGTTGTAGAAAACTCTTGCTTTTCTTTGTTACTGGCAAATCGTGAACAAGTAACTAGATGTGACTGATTTGTGATATTTACCTTTCTCGTTTTCTTCTGTAGGACCTTCTGGTGTAGACTGAATAACTTTTTCTATTTTTTCAATTTTCTCAGGAAGATCTACATCAGAGGCTGGTTCGGACGCATTCGACGATGTGAATACAGCCTGCAGTACCGAGTACGCTATGAAGAACACCGACACCGTTAACCAGCGGTGACGCCGCGGACGCCGCATCCTCTAAAATGAGAGAAACGACGGAAAAAGGTAACAATAAGGATCTTCGGTTATACAAGAATCAATGCTTAAGGTTAATTCCTATTTTCAATCATTACTTTTTTATTTTCATAGTTATAAAATGGTATATTAAGTTGCCATACGAAATTTGGTATAGGGCTCTACAGATCCTTCGCATAAACAGTGACCTATTTATATATGATAATTTTCAGCCCACTTAAAAACACTACAGGATTTTATTTTACTTATAAACTATTTACTCGTATTTCGACGACCTATTGACTAAGCGTTTGTGTATGCCGAGTGAGGCGTGGCATCATAATTAAGGACCTTTGATTAAATACAAATCGAAGTTCAGGACTTTTTTCATAAGTATTTTTTGCTCGCTTGCCTTGTCTTGCCCCTTGACCCTTTTATTGACAAGGCCCTTCTAACACATATTAGGACATCCTATTATGATATGTGATGTTTTCCTTAATATTATTTGAAATTATTATATTACCAAAAAAAATCATTTCGATAAAATTATGATTTTGATTATCTAAGTCAAAGTTATGTTGACATTTTTAACTATTACTCAAAAACTTCTATGTAGGTCTTTGGTTTTTTTCACCTGTCAAAAATATATAAACTCCTTGCCTGTGATTAATTAATTAATTAATTAACTAACAAATTATTATTTTGATAAACCATTAATAAAAGAAGAAGAAAAGAACTCATAAATGACGCTCTATTATAGCATTATCATATTAGCATTATCATTCACTGCTTTCAGTTCTGAAAGTTTCAATTTTGCTTTGAAGAAAAAAGTGACATCGATTTTCAGACAGGTAACAACGAGTTAGTTGAACCTGATATATTTTTTTTATTTTTTTCTCGTATAACAATCCATTTAATTCTTTTTCTAATTCTAATTTTTTAATCTAATTTTTTAATATATATGTCGCAGAATATCTCCATCATCTTTACGAAGATCGTTTGATTTAGTTTTTTTTTATTATTAGTTGTTTGATTACCTAATGACTCGATTGTACATGTGGCGTGATCATCGATACTTTTAATTTAATTTGATCGGTAACACTGACTTTCACAGTTCGTTAATATAAAGCAAGTTGCCGCCATCTTGGCAAGCATTCTGTTTCCGATCGTCGAGGAGTAAAGACATCTGACAAAATGGAATAAATCCACATCGGTATACACGCCTGCAGTGTTATTTTAAAGATAGTCCCCCGATATGGACGATTTATTTGGGCTTCGTAATAGCCCCTTCTGACTACCCGCCGTTATATGTGTAGCTTTTCTGTTGAGATAAAATGTTAATTTTAATCAACTTTAATTATGGAATGAAAAAGATGATGATTTACTTTCAAGGCTCACCACATCGTCAAATAACAAGATGTACACTTTTTTAATCAAATACCATAAATGCCGAATAATATTTTTCAGTACTACATTTAAATAATTTTATCGGTATTTTCGTATGCTTTCATGGTTTTCAAAGAGAACAAATTTTGTTACGATTTGATTTTCACTGGCCAAATGCTCTGAATTGATGGCTCGGCATTTGATAAAAAACGATATAACGATAACGATAAACGATAAAAATGCAGACTTTTAAAGAAGTTTTCTTGTCTTTACTAGTAATTTTAAATTGAGAGCTAAGTAAAATTAATTTTTAATAGCTTAAGTCATCCGTTGAGCTTGGTGCATGGCACCTAAAGGGTCGCATATTTAACTTTCCTTGTTCATTTCTGGCTAAAAATATAACTGAGAGTTTTTCAATAATTTTGTAGGTTTTTGGGTCTTCCTAATCTACATATTGATTTGAAGTTATTATTCTTGAGAAAGCTGGTCGACCCTGACTTGTGAATCGATTTGCAAATCCTATGCTTAGAAGTGTTAAGATGAATTTAACTAACAGAAAATTGAGTTGACAAATATAGGGAAAAGTAATGGAGATAAAATGCACCCCAGCTGCAATATTATATTAACTGAAGAAAGATTCATTAATGCGTATTCACTGCCAGCGTCCAGGTAGGTAACTACGGAAACAGTCTACAGTGTTGAATGCATTACTAAAATAAATAGCTACTTTTATATTTTCCTAATCTGATCTGATATCATCAGTGATTTTAAGTAGCACTGTTATAGCCATGTCCAGTTCGAAACCTAGACTGTTACTCGTAAGTGTCAAGGAGTTGATTTTCAAAGTTTGTTTGGTTTGTTTACTTTATAATAAATAAACAAAAAACTGTAAATAACCAATTGTTTTCTATCAGCAATCAAATAGGAAGTTATCCTAAATAGATATTGGTGTGTTATATCCAACTATAAAATATATGTCACTTAAATGAGCTGCATTATAACAATTTCCAACACAGAATATGATCATGCTAGACGCCATAAAATATTTAAATCACTTTTATCGACACCAAAACCTTCCCTCCAGCAGACTAATAAAATCAGATATATGAGTACTTTAAATATATATACGCTATAAAATCGTGACCCAAATAAGTCTTGAGTTTATCGACGGGTAAATTGATTAAATAAATTGTGGAAGGCTAAAAAAACTTATATGGCAACGTCTGTTTGTTCAGTTATTTGTGAATTAAGAGTAAAACATTGAAATTAAAAACAGATAATATATAATAGTGAACACGTTTAAGTCATTAACAGCCAGTTGCACAAACGTATACTAAAATTCCATTAATTTAATGCTATATTACACATAAAAATTTTCATATTTAGAACATTTATAGTGCTTAAAGTTGTCATTAAACCTTTATGGACGTTTGTGCAACTCACCGTAAATCTAATGTTTACTTACCAATATATATTCTCAATATTTGTTCACAACTACAACTAAAGAAATCCAAATATACTTTAACAATAACGAAACATATCCATTCAACTACTATCAGTGCTACTGTGACCTATAATATGTGACACAGTGATTATAAATATCGTAAAAATTATATAATTCGATAGCCAAACTGTAGGTAATATACAGAGGTCGGAATTAGGTAGAGTTATTTATGTACTTGCATCGAAATGTTGATATTAATGTGGACCTTCGTGGCAACATCGCGCGTATTGGTATTTAGCAACTTTGGACATCCGATGTCATTGATGTAAATTTGGCAACGTCGTGCGTGCAGTAGTTTAAGTGGTGTAAAAGTAAATAATTTTTTATTTAAAAAAATCACGGGATTTTTTCTGCTCTTTAAAATTAATCTCGGGATTTGAGGCATATCCACTTTATTCTTTCGCTGTATGAAATCAGTGTAAGTACATGAATAACTCTTCCTAATTCCGACCACTAGTAATATATTATTCATTTTAAATTAATAACGCAAGAAAAGCTTCTTCCGTGAGAATATTTAATGAAGAAAGATTCCGTGAGAATATTAATTAATCTTCAAGAATTGAGCTAATGGATGCAAAATAAAGTTTTCAAATTTAGGTGATAATATCCAAAAATAAGTGCGTTCAAACAAATTCGAGCTTAATTGCTGATCTAAATGTTACATTGTACGAAAAATTATAGCTTATCACAGGCATTTTAATAACAGTTTCTTTTTTGACACAGTTTTTTCATTATATCGCAAAATATTTATTTATATTGTACACATACAATTTCACATGAACAAATTTAACAGAAATAAGGGCACTGCTTATTTCAAATTGAAATTTCTCATTTCCAGTGGGCCCACATCAAAAAAAATACAATTAGGTAGTCAGTGTGTACCTCCTAAATAAAATTAATAAGGAATATATAAACAAATATATTCCTTATTATGAGTAGCTCGGTGGCGTAGTGGATAAGCGCCGCGGCCCGCGATCGTAGTCGTTAAGCAACTTTCGCAAGGGTCGGTCACGGGATGGGTGACCTAAAAATTATTATCTCTAGCTACTCCGTGCTTCGGAAGGCACGTTAAGCCGTTGGTCCCGGCTGCATTTGCAGTCGTTAATACCCTCCAATCCGCATTGGGCCAGCGTGGAGGGTCATGGCCCATCCTCCTTAACCATCCATAAGGAAGGCCTGAGCTCCTGCAGTGGGGACGTAAAAGGGCTGGTGATGTGAAACAAATATAAATACCCGGAGAGAGAGTAATAATAAATTAAAATGAAAAACTTACATAATTGTGCAAACGTTATATAAATAATAATTTGTTATATATAAAGATTAATATCTACACTCTCCAATATCAACAATAGAAAGGATAATGATCCTTCACTCTTTTTTTGAACAAAGAAATAGTGCGACTGTCACTTAGTAGAGAGAGAGGTAGAGAGTTCCATAGTCTAGCAGCATGAACAGTGAAGGAATATGAAACAAAATCTGTTTTATGTGAAGGAGTTTGAAGAATGGACTTAAGGTGGGATCTGCAAAAAGCATCAGGAGAAAGGAGAAACGAGAAACACTCACGCAGATAGGAAGGATAGACGGAATTATACAGAATGTTGAACAGAAGGCAGACAATCCCGACATTTCTACTCTGACGAATGGGAAGCGACATGAGCTCCTTCCATAAATATAATACATACTAAACACATGATCATACTTACGAAGACCATAAATAAATCTAGACCAGAAATAAATCTAATCGCTAGATTTTGAAGCCGTTCGAGTTTGTTTAATAACTCGTCAGTGGCATCCAAGTAACATGCATCAGCATAGTCAAGAAGAGGTATGGACAGTCCATGATTGAATTGAATCTATTGTAATACCAAGATTATTTACATTATCTGTTAACTGAATTTGAGTCCCATCTATAAGCACTGGTGTTAAAAATAATGTAGAAACAGTATTAATATTAAACCTGCTGCCTATCACAATGGCCTGAGACTTAATCGGGTTAAGCATGAGGCCGAACGATTTCGCCTAAGTACTAATGCGATCCAAATCGTTATTAATATCGAACATAACCGAGTTACAGTCCTCTATTTCAAAGCGTCGATAAAGCTGCAAGTTGTCTGCATAGAGGTAGAAGTTGGAAGATATAACTCTAGTAACAGAGTTAATAAAATGGAAATAAGAGAGGTGGAAGAACACCACCCTGAGGAACACCCGCACCGAGGTCACACCAATCAAAGAATCTGTCATCATTGATTCATTAAGACGCTGTTGCATCATGATCCAAGTTTTGCACTAATAATATTTAACGTTGGGTGTATAATACAGGGAGATATAATACACAAAAGATACTATAATAATATAATGCACAAGAGATATAATATACAAAATTAATATGTATACTGGGATGTGAGCTAGCAGAACGTTATTTATAAAACCATAGATTTTAATTTACGATGTGTATTATGGCCTAACCAAGGTAAGAAACCTTCCTTAGAGCTAAAAGCACATCCAAGTCATTCACTTGTTTCAGCCTCAATAATAATCCTTACATTTGTTCTGGTATCGACTCTATCAAATATCATTGTCTTTGTCTTTTTCACATTCAATTTCGCAATAATACAACTACAATAATAAAATACTAATACAATACCACCCAAGGCTACATCACCACTTACCATCAGGTGGGATCATAGTCAAGCGTTAACCTTATAAAAAAAAATACAAAAATAATACAACGCAATAATATTTCACCACTGTGACTTAGAGTTTTGCAGACCGGATGGATTTTTTGCAAACGCCACGGGGTCATCTTCATAAAGTAGGTTAGATAACTTCTAGATTATACATTTGCAATTTCACATTTATAGATCTTATTCTCTGACGGCAATTCTCGAAATATACGATAAGTAGTCTTGCCGACAACAATTATTTTTGAAATCAATATTTTTATATTACTAATTCAAATTCTAAGTTATTTATTGTTTTCACGTGGAGAATTATATTATTCGAGACAAGAATCCTTTGTGTAGTGTGAAGAGATAGGAATTTGCTCTGAGTCATAGCATATCTATTAATTTGCCTCTGCAAGACGGTGGAATGCTGTAATATGTGCTTGTTTTTCTTTATATATTTTTCATGTTTCGTAATAAGATATATATATATATACTGGTTTACTTAACTCGCAAAAATTATTATCGTAATAGTTTCATAGTTTTTCTTTTTCTATATGGATTAAGAGACGCAATAACGAAATTCAAACCGAGATATTGTACTCTCATATAAC